CATGCCTACTTGGTGTTCTCTCCATGCCTGAAATGCTATTTTTCTTCCCTCCTGGCTTTTCTGGCTTCCTTCAAGCCAAAATTCAAATCCTATCTTTAGCTAAAGGCTTTTCCTGCCCATCCCACCTCTATACTATTGATCTACTGCTTTCCCTTTGAGATTACTTTTCAGTTACTTAACATGCACTATGACTTTTGGCACACCTTACTTAAAGAGTATATACATAAGTTTTTTTTTTTTTGCATGTAGTTTTCTCCATTAGAATATAAGCTCCTTGAGGTCAGGGACTGTTTTTGCCTCTCTTCTTAACCTCAGTGTTTAATCAGAAGCACTTAATAAATACTTTTGACTGATAGACTGGAAAGTAAGGATTATTTCCCATCATACTCATCATGGATGTGAGTGAATGTTTATTAGTGAGTTTATTTAGCCCTGTGAATGGCCATTTACTTACCCATCATACTGTGGTTAACAATTACGTAAGACAGAGGCCAGTCATAGGAATAGACAGACTTGACAGCTACATGTGTGCTACGCTGTTGAGGAAGTATTGCATGCTTCTTCTCTCTGAATTTTGGAAGGGCTGCCTATCAAGATGCTATTATAGTTTTGCTTTTCCATTTCAAGAGTTTCTTTTTTAAATACAAATACTCCTAGGAGAGGGTCATATCTTGGACTATAATCAGTTAACACCTTAGCAATAATTAATTGATCTGCAAGTGAGAGTGTGAAAGGGACACCGTGATGGTGGTGACAGTGAAAATAGAGGGAAAGTGGATAAACCAAAAAGGTGAGAAAACTTCCGGGAATGGAGAGAGACAGAATAGCAGGGGGAAATTTTACTCACTCCATGATTTTACCTAAAGTCTGTAGCGTTGTTGGTATGAATAAAAATAAGACTGCTTTTTCCTCCTATTTTTTTCTACTAAAATAGCCCCTTTGAAGAAATGTCTTGGAAACATTGATGGATACATGGATTTTCATACTGATTGAAAACATCTAGTAGTCAGTAAAGCTTATTCTAAACATTTTGCTAAGTTCTCTTGGAGTTTCTCATTTGGATAATGACACATTGTCATCACACCATTCATTCTGAGAAAAGCAAAGGAGCATTTTAATGGGTATTGGTAGAAGACAGAAGCACAAGTCTACCGTGCACAATGTCTTACTTGCTTCTCTTTATACTTAGTAGGAGGCAGATTAATTTTAAAAGTAGACATTCCTATTAGACCATAGATTTTTGAGTTGGAAGGAAAACTATAGCACACAGCAGAAGAAGGATTTGAATCCATTGTCCTCTGGATCTAAATACAATTTTTTTCTACTGCATCACAATTTGCTTGTAAACCAATATTTTTACAGAAGTGCATTCTGTGGCTGTGCTCACAACATGAAAATATCTAGTCAGATCAGTACAGAATTCAATCCACCACTGGGATGTTTTGTTTGAATAATACCAATCATTTGGATGATGTTTCAATTCATGGCTGTTTTGACCTTTGGCACATACAGTTTAAAAAATTACCAGCAAGAAAATGATTTGGAAATGATCCTGATTTCATCTGAGGTCTATATAACATCCAGACAACAAGTAGAAAAGGGGGAAAATCATTTGATTTGTTTACCTGTGATGCTGAAGGACCAGTTTGACAATTTTTTTTCATTGATTTGCTTCAGTTAACTAGGTGTTTAGGTATGACCTTTAAATGTAATTGAATCTGTTACTGTTAGGAAAAGCATCTTGCCTCCACTTTTCTCCACTGTGTACAATAATAATGTTTCATTATTTCATGGACTATTGACTTCACCAGTGGGGGCACTCCCTCTGCTAACATGGATTACAACCCTTCCATGACTTGGCATATGGTCTTGAGAATTGCTGAGGCCCAAAAGATCATTACTCAGTGGTTATGTGGCTGAATCTCATTGAACTAACCTAGACAGGTCCGCAGATGAGACACACAACAGACCTCAAAGTCTTTCTAGATTACTGGTACCTACTTGAGATGGGCTCTGATATTACAGCTTTTGAGAACTCAGGATCAATTCTACAACCATTAAGAGGCAACAGAAAGGACTCCAATGTAAGTGAATATAATAGCAATTTATAGTTAAACTGCACAAGGGACTGTGCAAAACACTTTCCTCACAATAACCCTATGAAGGACATACAGTAACTATTATTCCTGTTTCACAGGTGTGGAAAATGAGACTCTGACAGTTGATAAGTGTGACCAAAGTCACATAGCATGTATGTGTTAGAACCAGAATTCAAGCCCATGTTTCCTTATTTTTAGTCTAACATTCTTTCTACTATACCAACAACTCACTCTTTGTAGCTCCTCCATTAGATAGAAATTCATAAAAACTCCTATTTGCCCCTCACATTTCCTAGAAAGTTTTTTATGCCCTTACTTCCTTTTTGTGTAGTTCTTTAAAGTTGTGTGAAATTGGCTTTATTGTAAACAAAGAACTGACTTAGACAAGACATTTATTAAAATGTAAATTGCACTTGCCTGATAAAGGGAAAAGAAGAGAAAAGATTTAAATGAAGGTCCTTGGGGCAGTAGGAATCTGAAGTTAGAATAGTCAGAAGAGATTCAAAGAATTTTTGTTGAAAAAATAAATGAATGAATAAATTTTACCTTAGATGATTTTCTGTGGAGAAAGAAATGGCAAACCTCTTCAGTATCTTTGCCAAGAAAATGGGGTCATGAAGAGATGGACAGAACTGAAAAATGACTAAACAACAAAAAATTTCTCCACCTTGGATACAAGTGTTGGTATGGGGGGAGGAGGGAAATGGGCTTAGTGGATCCTTTATATCTGCTTTGAAATGCTTGAGTATAAAAAAAGTAACATATTCATGAAATTTGAAACATTATACTTCATTTGTTATTAGATATTAATCATGAGATAAAGGGTAGGAACTTTCAATCAATCAATAAACATTTATTAAGTACCTACTGTGTGCCAGGTACTGTGCTAAGCATTGAAGGCATTCAGACTAATGCTCATGGAATTGATAACACAATTTTAAATAGGAGTATAATTAATGAACTTCGTAATTGGTATTCTTTACTCCAGATATTAGTCCATATCATGACTTTTATCTGTGATATATGTATTTGATTTCATCTGGACTGAGGAAAATCTCCTCACCAATGCAACCTGAGTGTCTGGCACATAGTAGTTGCTTAATACATCTTTGTTTACTTGATGTAGTAGTAGATTGGTCCTAGAGACATGTCTTAGGCACAAAGATATTCAATATTTTGTTGAGGCCACACAATATCAGACAAGGAATTTGAACTCAGGCCTTTCTGATACTCAGCATGTCATCTCCTCCCCCCCATGCAGCCCTTGTTTTTACTATTTTATTATGTCAATTAATTATAGATTTGGCAGTGGTCAACCAATCTGTTCTCTACAGTTCCCCAAATCAAGTTAGGGCTTTCACTATCTCTGCCAAATGTGCTGGTCGATGCTGAAACTTTGTATTGGAAAGCACTGATGAAAAAGTTGATGTTTTCCATCCTAGTATATTCATAGGATCATAGATTTAAAGCTGGAATAAAATTCAGGCAATCTAGGCCAAAAGAGGAGGAAATTGAGCACCAGTGAGGTCTTTAATGACTTGTGTAATATCACTTAATGTCAGAACCATGATTGGAACCCAGTGCCTCTAAGTGAAGCTATTGCTCCTTCCAACTTTACATGCTGCCTCCTCCAGTCCATTCCATTCCATCCCATCTCATTCCATCCCATCCCATTCCATTCAACAAACATTTATCAGCTACCCACTGTTTCCAGTGTCTCTTTCACAGATCTGAGATGATTGGAAAGGAAAAGGATATTCTATATCTGATCATATTTACTTGTATCTACCTTAACTCCCAGCCTTTAAAAAACATGCAAAAAATACACTGTGTTTTGACTGCACATAGTAAGAACTGTATTCATCATCCAAATGTCATGACGACATTCAGCATCCATGTGAAAGCAGCAGCACTCCAGTGTTTACTTTTTTCAATGACAACACTTGTATTTACTAAGTATTGTCCCTTCAGCAAAGAGTTAAAAAAGACTGAATGTTTTGTACGTGCCCTGGCATGTACAAAAGAATAACTATATGGAAACAAGGAAAGTAGTCAAATGTAAACATATATGTACCTTATATGTAATTTGGTGGCTATTCCTCTCTCTGTCTTGATGAACATTTGCTAATTGGATAATTATGGTTATACATAACTACCCTGTAGTTTTACCATACAGTTGTGACCACATGTGCTTCTATTGCCTTTGATACAGACTAATTTGTAAGAGTCAGTTTGCAAAAATAAAAGGTAGTCACTAAAATGCAATCACTATATGCATTAGACTGGGCTTGTTACTCAGTCTCTTAAATACTATTCTTGAGAATTTCTGTTTTTCTGGGAAGAGGAAGGCAATCTATCGGCTCCTTTTTCTCTGCCTCTGTTCGTTGTAGTTTAGAGCAATAACTCTAAGAACCCAATAGAGGTTGTGAGTCTGAGTTGTAAGTTACTATAGAGAAAATTTTTTTTAATTTTCATATTTTTACTCATCCTTATGATCTTGTCAATTTCTTGACATTCAATAAAACCATACTTTTAATATCTTCAGGTGAGAGTACTTTCTTGATGTTGATCTGTATGCCATACTTAATACAAAATTTTCCAGAGAGGAATATAAAATTTAAGAGTAGATTTTTAGCATTCCTTTAAATCTTATTAGTAGCTCAACTTATAAGATCTAACATATATACTCAACACTTTATAATGTCAGGTTTTAGGTTTTTTTAGTTACTTTGGAATCAGACTTGATAATTTTAACATTAGCTGAATGTGGGAAACATGAAGATAGGAAACATGAGAAACTAGACATGTTATGTTTTTCATCAGCTGAGCACTTAAAAGAAAATCCCAACTCATTCCTGTATTCTATCCCCTATTGCTTTTTCATTTAATTGGATTTCTTACCTGCTTCCGGGAAGAAATGGTGCTATTGAAACATCTGCTGGCTGTCTTAGCATTCAAATTCTTCTTCTGGTAAGTTGGGTCATTCCTCCAAGCCTTAGAGTTCTCTTTAGGATCTGAAGGAATGGGATTCAAGAACAGTATCCTAGCTATGAGTCCATAGAGGACAGTAGCTAGAATCATTGGTACAACATAGAATATGCCAAAGTCCATCAGATAAATGGGTGAGTAGTAATTCCTAGATACTTTGTAGCCACAGGACACTACAGTGGCATCTTTGTAAGTGACCATATTGAGGTCAAGCAAGAAAAACCAAAGCATACAATAAATGGAGGTGAAAGCCCACACAAAGATGATGATCTTTTTAGCTCTTGAAAAGGTACAGAGGAACTGGGCCTTGATGGGGTGGCAGATGGCTATGTACCTCTCAATTGTAAATGCTGTGATGGAACAAGAAGAAGCATTAATGCCCAAGTACTGGAGATAGGTAATACAGAGACATCCTACGTAGCCATAGACCCAGGAACCATAGAGACTGTCAGTGATGTTGGGGAGACCTGCAGCCACCAGCACCATAAGGTCAGCTACTGCTAGGCTCACTAGGTAACAGTTAGTGGGGGTCCTCATATGTTTGGTTCTCATCACCACTAGGACCACCATGATGTTGCCTATGATGCCCAGTCCACAGATGATGAGAACTAAGAGGATAGTGACCACTTGGTATTCTAGGGATACCAATGCTCGGGCCTGAAGTTGTGTCTGGTTCAGTTCACCTCCTGTCTTATTTTCCATCTTTAGCAGCTTGAAGTTTCTCCCAAGCCCCTGGTGCTCAGAACATTTTATCTTCCAGGGTCTTCACTCTCATTCACTGTTATTCCCTCCCTGTAACAAAATGGGTACAAATGGATAATTGTATGACACACCCATTCACCTTTTTACCACTTCATAGCAAATGACAATCCCTCCCATGTAACTTTAACTTCTCATTTGAGCTCCGTCTCCCCTTCTATGGTGTTTCTGGAAGATGGACATTCAGTAACTGTATTACCCTTCTGTTGGAGACTATGACAACAGATTGGTTTAATTTATAGGAACAAAGCCTTTCTCTCCCTGGCTTCCCCCCACCCCCCCCCTTGGGGAAAACTGAATGGGAGACGAAAAGGAGAGTTCTTTATTCTGAATGTGATGCTGAAATAAGTAACTAAATATAAAGAACTAGAAATTTAAACAGTCCAACTTAACTGTTGAGGAGAAATATAAAGTGGGAGGGAAAGGCATAAGGATGGGAAAAAAATCAAAGACAAACATCAGTAATTTTAGCAATTCATTTCTTCCCCTTTTTCCTATAAAGGGATGAGGTCCCTATGCAATAAAATAGCAAATATTAGGATCCACAATTTTGCCTAATGCTTCCTGTCCCTGTGTGCCAGATAGGGATAGATGGGTTTCTTCCCTTACCTTGTTCTCTGTAGCACTGCCTTGTTTCCTTGGTAGCTGAAAAGGTAACAGGTCCAAGTTCCCAGTACGGCAGAAAATCTTGTCTGTACTTTATTTCATGAAGAGATCACTTGGCAGCTGCTCAGTCCTCAGAACTGCAGTTCCCTCCACCCTCTCCACCCTCCCAGCCCTTTCCAAGGGACGACACACCATACAGCCTCAGTAAAGCTGTCAAATGACAGACCGTCCCCTTAGTGAGAGCACCCACACACATGCACATGATCTTCCTACCCAGTATTCACCAATTCAGAATCTTTTCTTTGGAGAATTCCTTTTCTGACAGTCTTAACCAAGTGGACTTTGAAAAAAACAAACAAACAAACAAACTAACAAACAAACAACAAAAACAAACCACAAGCGAGAGACCTGGCAGAAAGCAGGGCTCTCAGCAGCTTACGTGGAGTCTGAGCAGCACTACAGAAATTCCCATTTCTAAGGTAAGCTAACCTGAAATGTGGATATGCTCACTCCTCTTTTGATGGAACTTCTGGCTCTGAGTCAGTCACCTGCTGTTTAATGCTACTTGCAGTGAGAAAGTGGCTAGCAAAACCTCCTCAGTTCAGAGTTAAAGAGATATCCAGAGCCTTTGTATCCTGAAAATGTCTGCAGATCTGAGCTGAAATCAATTTCTCGCTCTCTGCTTTAGAAACCTGTGGACTATTTTCCCTCACAAAAGAGAAATTGGCTCTTCTCACCTCTCAGATTGTAGAGGGAGAAAATGAAGATTGAGTTGATTCTGAAGCATTTTCATTTCAATCTTCCAGGGTCTGTGAAAAAAAAATTAAAAAGTGGTTTATGAAGGCATAATTTTGCGAGTAGGAATGACCTAAGTCTACTTTTAAAACTTTCTGGCCCTGGAGTACTAGTCCCTTTTGTCAAATGATTCTAACTATTCCACCCATTTCTTTTTCTTCACTTGTGCTCCTGCACCATCCTATTTACCCTGTTGTTATATTTCCATTGCACCTTGTTCCTAAGTCAGAGGATCTTAATAGAAATCAAATTCAATGCAGATTTTTGCTACCCCAGCCCTGTAAGGTTAGGTTCCTGGAGGCTGTCTTCTTCCAGAAAGTGCAACCTTCCTGCTACATTGTTGGCCCAGGGAGTTATTAACCTGACACTCACTTCTTTTTTGTAGCTCCTATGCGTATTTTGCTACTTCTACTGAAAGTCCAGAAAATAAATCCATCTTCCCCAAACTCAGTTGACCTCAGGATACTAAAGCCTCTTCAAAACCAATGGTTAACCTCCTTGGTCTTGTTAATTGATCCTGAAAAAATGCCACCTTTCAGGGATTACAGTGGAAAGTGTCAAATTCCAGTGGTGACTCCTAGGTCAGAATGTATAAGAAATGGCCCAGCCACAGTGAAATGGATACAAGAGCAGTCTATGAAATGGGAGACAATTAGAAGGTCTTTCACCACCTCCTCCCCACCCCAATCGACAGAAAGTACAGGAATAAATTAGATGTCTATTGATCTCACCCCCCCCACCCCAATCGACAGAAAGTTCAGGAATAAATTAGATGTCTATTGATCAGGTAATGTCTCATCACAAGTGGAATGGGATATTATAGCACTGTCATAAACAATAAATATGAAGAATTCAGAGAAACATGGGAAGGCTTGTATAAACTGATGTTGAATGAAAGAAACAAGATCAGGAAAACAGTATGTATTGTATTGAAACGAAAATAAAAATAATAATAACAACCACAAAATAAAGTTAACATTGTAACTATAATAAACAAGCTTTCCTAAGAAGAAGGAAAGAGAAATCGTATCTCCTTTATACTATCAAATGCAGTCAATGCATTGGTTAGGTTTGCTAAACCACCCCTTACTTTTATTTTTTTCTTCTTTTTTCTTCTTTGTTACTCAGGGATAGTCCTCTTGATAGTGGAGGGCAGAAAGATAGATTTACAAATTTAAAACGATGTAAATTCTAAAAATGTCAATAAAATTTAAAAAAAAGAAGCTTGAATTGTCATTTGCTTGGAGGGTCAGTTAGGCTGGACATGAAACATAATTTATGGTGCTTCTTTATCCACCTGACCAAGGGTAGATTCAGGGGCTCTGATATCTGGCAGTTCTCTGGTTCCCTAGGTCAATCACCTGAAGATCAACCCTCCAAAATACATTCTAGATGATTCCTGTTCTCCTGGACTAATGGTTTTTCATCAGAGGCAGCTGAGTGGCACAGTTGATAAAGTGCTGGGCATAGAGTCAGGGAGTCCCAAGTTCAAATTCACCCCCAGACACTTAGCTGCATGACCCTGGGTAAGTCACTTAAGCTCTTTTTGCTTGCCTATCATAGCTCCTAGGTCCCACCATTGCTAATGAGGTTCAAATAAGATTACAGTGCTTTGTAAAGTGCCTGTAGGTACCATATAAATGCTTATTCTCTTTCATTCTTCAACAGTCAATACATAAATAAGTGGGATGTGGGATAGAAAGAGAGATTTTTCAAGTGAATGTAATTAGATTTAGAACCACAACCTTAGAGATCACCTAGGTCAACTTTTCATTTTACAGATGAAGAACTGAATCTTAGAGATATTAAGTGACTTGCTCAAACTGGTAGTGAGTAAATAGTGCCAGGATATAAGCCCACACTCTCAGACTCCAAATCCAGCAGTCTTTCTCTTGTACCACTAATTAATTACACCCACAAAGCACATATCTGATCAGATATTATCAATTGAGTGTTTCTTTTTTGCAGGGAGGGGACACTGGGAAAACAAGGAAGGGGAGGTCTGGTTAAAAAAAAATTCTGACTACCACCTTTCTCAACCCTCTTAAAACCTGGAACACATTTCTTTGGAGCTATTTCATTAATTTTAGTACTTTCCTTATGTTATGGATTTTTAAAACAAATAAACACATTTCAGAAAATATTATTTTTTTAAATGTAAGAAATTAGATGACTCTTCCGTTGATTAGATAAAGTTAAATGGCTTTTGTTTGAAATTCTGGGACTCTTCCTTATAAACAGGTACTATTTTCAGGCATGAAAAAAAAGTCTTTGCTTAGATAGGGATTTAGAGGTCCTCAAAAATCATTTATAATCCCAGGCATCAATGAAATGCCAGGGAAGATTTTTCAATATACATTGGACATGAAGCAGATAGGTGGCAGAGTGCATAGAGTACTACCCCTGGAGTCAGAAGGACCTGAGTTCAAATCCAGCCTCACACACTTATTAGCTATGTAACCATGGCTAATCACTTAACCTGATTGCCTTTTCCCTAACTCCCCCAAAATACACATTGTGCAACTATTAAGTAAATGGCATCTATAATACAGCATATGATCATAGATAACAATTATGATAATTTACACTTAGATAATAGTTTAAGATTTCCAAAGTACTTTACAAACACCCTTATAGTAATCTTTTGGAGGTTCTATTGTTATTATACCCTTTTTACAGATGAGGTAAGTGAGCCCTACAGAGGTTAAACACTACTTAGAAAGTAAGTGCCTCCGGTGATACTCAGATCCTTCTGAACCCCAGTCTCCTACTCAATCTACTATATCATGTTACCTTTTAGCATCAAGGGTTATAGGGTTAACATTGGAAGGAAAGTTAAAGATCATCTAATTCAACTCCCTTTATTTTATTGGTGGTGAAACTGAAGCCCATCTGAGTTCATACATATATGAACAGACATGAAATTTGAATCCAATTTCTCTTATTTCACATCTAGTGCTCTTCTTTATGCCACACTGGGTTTTTTTTGGGGGGGGGGAGGGTGGTTGTTGTTCATTTGTTATGCCTTTTTCTTTTGCCAGTGGAGTATTAACCTTGATCGTTCAACTGACATCTTCAAGGGACACAGGTGTTGATTTAAGATTGTGATGAAGTTGACAGGACCCCTTTCAAATAGAACCCTGCTGTCATAGGCTGCTGTTCCTTCTGTAGTTAGCTGCTTCCTGGGGAAAATGGGTATTGGGTTTTTACTAAAAGACTGATACCTTGGTAGCATAGACTGGGCATCTGCTGCTCCTCTCTAGTATAAGTTGATCAGTCAATTAATTAATTAGTAAACACTTATTAAGTGCCTATCATGTGCTGGGGGTACAAAGAAAACAGTGAAATAGTCCCTATCCTTAGAGAGCTTATAATTAGAGGCAAAATGTATGTGTCATGAATGGAAGGATGATTATGTAGTAGTTATCTACTTCATTCTTCCACCCAGCCATCTATCCATCCACAAATACATACGTACAACTATGTGTATATGTATATATAATTTAGAAAAGCATGGAAAGGCTTACATGAACTGATACAAC